GTAGAGCTTCCAAGACTTTCATTCCAAAGCACTTAAGCCTAGGTAATGGATGGAGAAACGTAGCATCGTAAAATTTTCCTCTATGAACATTGGCTCATTTCTCTTCATTATCGCCTTTTAGGAGTCATTTGAGGAGCAAAAGACATTTAAGATTTTGAATTTGTTTTGTTTCGTTTTTATAGTGACGTAGATTTTATAATATTCTAATGTTTCATGCTTTATTAGCAATAATTTTCAAAGTGGAACACTCAATGAGAACGAATGGTTTGTTCGATGAGCATAAAATTGGGATCAACAGTGGGTGATACCAACAGCTAACTTTATCGATAATTAGCATAATTTACTAAAATATCAGGAGAGCAAACGAAGGCAGGCTCGTGGAATGGCTCTATCGAATGGGAGCAATTTTTCGGAGGACCAGAGACTGAATTACATCCCATAATATTTTCGAATAGGTTCCTATCAATAAACCGAGGCACCTTTGTTACACCTTCCACTCTCGTCGGCTCTATTTGTTTTCCGATAAATGTGCCTCTCCACACGGCAGCTTTTCTTTCAACCTGAGACGCTGATATCTCCGGCGATAAACGAGTTCCTATCAACAGCAGTGTGTAACAATAGGTTGGTGTCGGGTGCTGCTGGGATGTGCTCAAAGCCTAAGACCGAAGACGATTGGCGTGCCTCAGTATTTTCCACAAAGTCGTTTTCGAGGGGAAAAAAGGGGGCCGGTTGTTCTGAGTATAAAAGAATGGTATAAAAGACAAAGTGCCTCATGAGCTCTCATTTCACATCATATTTATTGGTGATATCTTTTCAATCAAGGCCAGTTTGTCAGCCTCTTTAAGAGGAAAATCGATATATCGATCGCAGGGGAGCGTAGTTCAGTTTTACTGTAACTAATTGAGAATATTTCTAAGAACAACCTCATAGCGTTTTACACTGTCTTACCTACCTTTAATCTTCTTTACACTCGCCAGAACTCGATAAATAAACTTTGTGAGGCCAAGGCTGAGTGTTCGAGTTGGTCGACCACAAGCGGAGTCCTCCAAGTGTCAGTTGGTGCGTTCTTCTCATGAATCTATCCGAAATCTCTTTATATATTGGGTACCAGTGCCTCACCTCTTGCTCCTTCCTCACACTCACACCCACACCATTCTCCCACTTCACCTGCTTCAGTCAGTCATTGTCGGTTCTCATGGATTTCTCCTACCTCTGTGATCCAATTTCTCTCTTTATTGCACAATTTTTCTGATAAACGCGCTGGCCTTTCCTTTCTACTCTGAATTATTGCCAAATATAGTGCGTACCCTTCCATACCTTTCATACTTTACTCAAGTGTTGCTGATGCGCCTAGGACCTTCCTATTCAATGTACTGTTCAAATTTTTATTTTGTTCTGCTAGGTCCGTCCAATGGACACAGAAATTGAGATCGCAACCACATTCGCAGTTACGAGTCAGATCTTGTCGAGACAAATCGTGCTTTCTGTCCTTAAGTTTCATGCATTCGGCTTCTACTCTGAATCGTGATGAAATCGAATGTATTCGGACAAATTCCCAGAATCGTGAAGCCAAGACATTAACTTCTCGAAGTCAAAACCAGTCAAAAGATGAGAAGAATTCAGGGAAACTTCCCAGTAAACCTATAACTCATGTTTCCTCAATCCTCCCCATATCTTTACCGATAATACACTGGTGTGCAAAACTAAGGACGAGACAGATGAAGTATCATAACCTTTTGATAGCTTTGTGGACCGTTTAACGGTTCCTGTTAACTGCTTTCTTTAGTGCCCTGTGGCAGCTCTTTGTATGTGTGGTTAGGTTCCATAGAGTCATGTTACGCGCCAGTAACACGTCGTTGGAAAAGCTACGTTCGTCCCTAAGTTTTGCACACCAGTGTAGTTCCAACTTCTCGTCCTGCTCAACTTCGTGTGAGATAATCAGCGTTCATCAAAATCGTCAGATGCACCATAGCAATATTCCTCCGTCTTAAATTGTGTGTAGAAGATGTCGCATGCATTCTCGGCTCTTAAACCTCCTCAAAAGGCACCCAACGTTTGCCCTGATGGTTCATTCTTTGGCCCGATTCGAAAATAATTGCATCACCAAGGTGTAGCCAGGACTTGGACGGCCTGGGGAGCCTGCGACTTGGTCAACCTTGCGCATGTGAAGTGATACTTCTGACCCAGGTTTCTTCCCTTTCTCTAGAAGTATTCCGAGGCCTTCATCTCTCTCGGGCAGGGTCAACTCTAGCCTATCTACTTTCCATTTTTTAATTTGTTGCGACCCACATCCTAACAAAGCCTCGATACAGCCGCCACGCACTATCACCCACACCCCAGCCTGGAGAGGCCCTCAATGTGGACCTCCCAACCGCTGCCAAAATGAGTTTCGTAGTACTCAATTCTCAAAACGGTGTATAGTCCCAACTACGGCTCGCGTTCTCGTCAGGGAATGGCCGTCAATGACGCGGGGGAGAGGGGTATTTCATATCTTCTGTTCCACGCCTCTTATCGTTGAAATCTTTCACACAAAATTCCAACAACTGCAAGCCACAATTCTTCACCCCCCCCTTCCACAACCACAGTTCTCTTCAATATTAGAATACCGACCCGCATTTTCACAAAATGATCCCGTCAACATCTAATAAGATACACCACCGTCTCGTTGTGCCAGCGGACGGTTGACCCTGCCTCAGGATTATATCGCTCTTCTCAGAACTACCACAACTTCACGCGTTCGCCTTTTGCCCTCCCCTCACACATTCACCTACACGCGATAAGCATTATTCACCACTTCTTTCGTACCCCATACCCGTTTGCTGAAGAAATTTTCTATGTGCTAGTGTTATTATTCTTCAACATTTTTCTCGGTCTTTCTTTTTACATCTTCGACATTTTCTTCTCTTCTCGAGTTATTTCAAGTGATCCCATAAAGCATTTTGAATCTCCTGCCGATGTAATCCTACTTTTGTAAAAAAGCTCGCAAAAAATTTGGCACACTAACACTCAGTGACGAGTAAGATCTATTGCTTCGATTGCGTTCCCCATTGGTACATGACTTATGTGGAATGACTCTGGATGGGCCTAGATAGCCATATTTCAGTTCCTTAATCTTGAAAAGGGCGACCATCTAGTGATTCCATCAACGGCTTTTCAATAATCTTCTGAATTTTACCCTGACTAGCTGGTCCCAGCAATTCACTGTGAAAGCTAATCGCATTCGAATGCGACTTCTGAATGGAAGTATTACGTGCGGCTCCCAAAAAGGGATTGATTGATGCTGAGTGTTTCATCCTCCCTAGCAGTAATGCAGTTAACTGGTACAATACACTACAGTCTATGGTTAGGCGATTGCGGCTAATAGTCTATACGAATAAGGTGAAACTCCAGTTCGGGGGGGGGGGGGGGCACTCCATTTTTTCTCCAATACTCAAGATAAGGATTAGAGGGCTCACGACACGTAATCGACTCATTTAAAGTAGACTTCTGATAAATATTGGTGTAATGGGTGAGAAACCCTGAAACGTTTTCACATTTCCGCCTGCCATGACCCAAGGGAACGGTCCTGGACCAGGAGAAAGGACACCTCCGCAAAGGGCTAAGGGTGCAGGAGCTCCAGGGTGGATCACCTGTGCAGAAAAGTGGATGGGATGTGGGCAGGTAGTGTGGAATGTAGGACATCCACCGGTCCTTATCAAAAGTACGCTCGAAATGAGTCGTTCACTTATTATCTTATCCGTAGTGTTCGATAGCCCAAAGAACTGCTCTCTAGTACTACGGATAAGATAGCAATGGAGTGGCCCCCCCGAACTGGAGTTTCACCCAAAAAGGTACCGTATAGTGATTGGGGTTCAGGCGGGTAAGCGATCAGGCGATCGCTCAGTGGTGCAAAAACCGATACGTATCCTCTTCTCATCCCTTCTCGCCTAATCGCCGAATCGCCACGTACGGTCGCCAACACTGAACCCTGGCTAAGCTCAGAAGTTTGTTACCGGCATCGCAGAGGTGTTATCATGCCCGAAGCGTCTTTTCTACTCATTGCTTTTTGGAATGAACTCCCATTGAGTAACATGCGTATGATGACAAATACTTCGTTATGGCTTATTTCGGCCGAACACGGTTGACTGTCTGCCACAGCTCGTGATTGTGGAGTTGTATAGCATGACGTATTTGATATCATTACAATGATAATCATTTATTGTCAAGTATCTGAACGCACAGGCGGCGTCTCTCCTCTTCGACGTTCTCGCCAGCAGCTCTCACTCGAATTGGTGCCAAAATGCCGTTGATGGTACGTACCTGTATTCGGTTGTGGTTGATCAATTAGGATATTTCCAACTTGATCGTACATGCACGTGAAACTGCGTTCAACACACAACAATCTAGGCTGCAGTCAACCATCTGGGGGGAAGGATACCCGATAAAGCCTACCCTCTTTCAGAGTAGTTGCTTTAGTTCAATAACCTCCTCCTTTGGGCGCTTACTTTTCTTTACGACCTACTTTGGGGGTTCTGAGAAACTGCCACTGTAGCTGTGGTCGTGCAGAGCCCCCGCCAACCTCCAGTTCAGATTGCATAGTGCTCTCAACTTCTCTCTCATGAAAGAACCCTGAAAGACAAGTTGGTTGTCAAGCGAGCGCCGACAGGGTTTAGTGGTTTACAAGAATTATGGTTGCAATTTAGAGTCTGAACTTTGCTTCTTCAGCGCAATTTTAGGCTGGTGTCAGAGTTCGCCACCGCGAATTGCAAAAATCGCAACTGCTCTGTTTGAACAATCGAAACACCGAATATAAAACAAGCAGAAGCACGAGCAGTAGTCATCCACCCAGTAGTCAGTCCCCATCAAGCAAAAATGGCAACGGGATTGGAGAGCACCTCGCAGCGTTGATCGCGGACTCTGACACCAGCCTAACTCTTCACTCCGTGTGGTGCACGCTTTGGAGGTGCCCTTCACTTGTACCTTTTTGCATCTCCTGGGCTTGTACTGCCGACTTTTTGTAGTTTCCTTTTGATGAGCTGAATATTTTGTGTATTTGAACTCAATAGTGTGTTGCGCCTTTTTATTACAAATTGTAGCTCTTGGATTTTGTAAAAGGTGAACACGTTTATGTAGAATTTTACACCTCTACACAGATGTAGAAAAACAACGTTAACTTGAACGTCGCGATGTTCGGCGGTACAATGGGAGCACCTTTTCTCCAAACGGGCAATTTAGCTCCACATTAATTCCAGTAGCTTGCGCATTGCTAGTAGCAAGCGGAGAGATATTAGCTTATTACAAATCTACACATGAATTTTGGTAGCCGGAGCCCAAAGCAATACATCACTTAACTGAAGCAGCAAATACATAGTCGGTAGGTAAGTAGAGCAGAAAACACATAAACTGCCGACAGCGGCCAATTTTTACCTTAAAACCTATAAATTTTTATGTAAAAGGTAATAGAAAGATTGTGTAAAGGAAGCTCAAAGACCACCTTTCAAGTGTAAGAGAATAACGAGCACAGTGGATAAAAAAGATAAATATTCCCATTTCAGGACGACGCCTGTTGGCAAACGCAGCATCGCGTTCCTCCCGAGGTCCAGCCTCCACAAATAGGAAAGATCTCGATTCCTGAGTTCAACGATCTTCATGAAGTCCACGTTAGTGCATTTTGAAAACATTATTTTACAAATTTTGGGTCCGTTCGTTCCCAAACTTCCAGTCTTCGAACAATACGCTGATGACTAGGAAACGTTGCCTTCACTTCATTCCTCGTATTTAGAAAAAGTCGGCCATCTGAGATCCTCTCGAAACCCCCTCACCATCGTTTCTGCCGACTCAATTTTTCCTTCATCTAGCAACTTCGATCGGCCCTTTTTGCTACTCTGTCTAGCTGATTGTACTTGCTTTTAAGCTGTGGCGTCTACAAAAGCTACTTACTGAGCTTTTCAGAATTTTTTTTCAAAATTTCGCTTCGATCCTGTTGACCCAGATTAATACCTCGCACTTACGTTTCTCTGTTTAGAAGACTGTGATCGTCAATAAGCCTCAGTCCTATCAGAAGGTCAAATGGAACGAGTTCCCCGAAGAAGTGACGCCGGAAATCGGAGCCGCGCCGAAAGTTCATACGCAGGAATGGACGCCGGTGAACCAGGTAAGTAAATTTATGCTCAGAAGGGGCTAACTGGATGTGTTCCACTCACTGTAACGAGAGCTCTAAATACAGTGCCTTACAAATTTCTTTTGGCGCGAATTTCGTAGGATGTCTCCGTCTTAGCTCAAGAACAGGGATGTGGGGATCACTCTTCCGAGACTTGGGTGCCACCATTGTTTTTTCTGACTTCAGCAAACTGAGCAGATTAGAAGACTGGGGTATGTTGCTGAAGAAATGCTGAAAAAAACTAATAACTATCTCGGCTAACTATGCGATAGTGACTTTAGGCTAGATCAAGAGACTTACATCCCGAAAAATACAATGATATGACTTGAATTCAGGAAACCACCGAACTCCAACGCAGTTTATACCGTCCTGGTAAGATCTCAGCCAATTGGCCTCCTCCAGAGAAAGAGGTTGGAAAGCTGGTGTGAGTCCGAACTGCGCTATATCATAATTTTGTTTTCTCATGAATATTTGAAAATTGGTGCATCCAGTAAATTTGATTCGTATGCTTCCTTTTCTTTCCTTGATTCATTTTTCTACAAAAAATCAAGCCAGCTTTTTCAGCGTCGAAATTCGTCCAGTAAAGCCTGGAGATGATGCTGGGTGGATCCAACAGGTAAATTTGAATTTTTCACTTGTTTTCACTCGAACAGGTGATATAGCGTGGAGCTTAGGGAAGGCATACACAGCTCCTTCTAGAGACTTGGTCGTTATAGCTGCGCGCTCTGCTCCTGCACCATTAGCGCGACTAAGATGTCAAATAAGGGCCGTTACGGAACCCCAAATGCGGCATGGGGTCATAATTTGGTTTTTAGGCGAGAGGTCGTTTCTGGTATTTTGGTCTGAGCGTGTCGGTGATGGTGGAACAAGGATATTCGAGATTATCAGAGAGGGTGGTTCAGATGGAGGTTGGAGATCGTGCTGCAGTGGAGTGGGGAGAGAGAGTCGCTTTGACGATTTTCTACGATTTGTGGCAAAAACTTTGAAGAAGGAAATAATGGAATGGAGGCTAATTGTGGCATCAATCTTTAAGTCATACTTACTCCCAGACCCCCTCCTTTCCCTCACACCCCGGGCTGATGGTGGTGGTAGTGCCGAAACCTCCTGTAGTGAAGGGAAAATTTTTGACCTACCGCGAGAAAGGGCTGAATGGTCATTCTCCAGTTCTGTTTTGTCTCTATTTTCCAAGGAAACTGGCGGGTTTCGTTGCTTCACTCTATAGCCTTATATGCGTTGAGCCCCTGTTTCTCTAGGCCTGGGGCTAAAATAAAACGCAATTACAATTCTTCCAGCTTTTCGCATCATCTTCTGCCACTGATTAACTTTCCTGAATTTCAGGAGCAGAATGAGGTTGTCAAATCCACAGGCTGGCAACGAAAATCGAAAATCGATCTCGTTTGGCCTCCTCCGGAAGGAGAAATGGCACAAACCATATATCAAGGTTGTTGCTTCAGCCAAGTCTACTCCTGCATGAGCACCATCTTTCCTGTAGAAATTGGCTGTTGTTCAGGTCCCCAACATATGCCAACCGTACAATGGCCACCGGCTGAATCTGAGGAACACGCTCAACAGCAGGTGGAGGTTCTACAGAAGCATATTCCGGCGAAGAAAATGGAGTATCAATGGCCACCACCACCTCCCGTTTATCAGGGTGATTCAGCAACAAATAGCTTCAGTGCGTAGATGGTGTTCCGCTTCTTAGTTAGACTTTTTAGTCACTTTCCTTTTTTCTTTTTTTTTTTTTTTTTTCTGCTTTCTGTGAAATACTGCACGTTATAGAATGCTTTTGGTAATTGCGAGCAACGCTTACTTTTCCTTGAGCTAACAACGTTACCCACAAAACACTTTCTTATATAGCTTTATTCTTCGCTTCTTCCTTTTTAGTCATTAACCATTTTAGAGTTAGATCTAACACCTCGACTGGCCGAGAATCAACGCCTCAGATTGGTAAAGATGAAGGGAGTACTGTGAACTAAGAACAGTAGCACCATAAGATGGAGTGAGGGGCATTTCTGGCATAGTGGCCATGCCACAGAAACTAGTATCGAACTTGATGCTACATAGGTGAAAAGTAAGTCCTGGCCTTTCTTTCGTACATAGATATGCGTTTGAAGGGAGAGAGGGGTTATTCAGTGAGTTTACACCTGAACTGGGCCCATAACACCCTCCTACCCATGCGGGACATGGACCCTGTAGAGCCCAGTGATCCAACCACCACAGCGCCTCCCGCTCACAATCATGAAACGTGTTTGCCTGCCCCCAAGCTAAAATATCGTGCTTGTAGTTCGCTTTGCATAATTTTTTTTTGATAATTATGTTCTGTCGCATGTTCAGATAAGAAGAGTAACTTTTTCAGTGGTGGAACGGTGACGTCACGACAGGACCACAGGAAACTCAACCACAAACTGTTGGCAAAACCACACCACTACAACCACCACCATGAAGAAGACTGCCCTGCGCCACCGGTGAGCAGCTCGGGGATTTTCGTGTCTTGCTTGTTTATCAGGACATCGCCTGCTTTGGGCCATGCTGAGAATCAGAATGTACATGGCTGTTTATCTTTGCCTGCTTTGCTGTTTTAACTAATGCACGTTTCTACGTGCCCATAATCAATCTCGAAAGGGTAGCCCCCTCAATTAGGCTTGAAAAATTGAGCTGACAATAAGACAACCCTTTGAGGGCTAAGGAACCCGATCAGTAGGGATCCCGCCCCACAACTCACATCTGCTTCTGGATGAACTCTCCAACTCCCATGCCTTTGACCCTATCTTACAACTAGACGATAACTAACTTCGTCCAAGAAATTAAACAAGATGTCGTCAAGGGTGAGGAAGTGGGATATATACAGTACATTATCGAAGGAGCTTCCACAGGGGGCCGTACCGAATAACTACTCAATTATTTAACAAAAATTTCATGGGAAAATTTACCCAAGGAGTTGCTGCTCTATTCAACCAAACAATAGATGGCATTATGCCGGGAATACTTAGCTTATTCTGAGGATGGGAATTAAGACCCTAAAGAGCGAGGAATCTTATGACGCTTGCCTTCTCATCTCGGCAAAGCTAGCCATCGCCAGCAAAGTTGGCTTAATTGCAACATCCCCAGCACAAAAACGGAATTCATTTAAGTTTCACAAAGAGAAAGTTAACAATGCAAGCATACTTCTTCACTTTACCGCGCTACCCTTGTGCACTGTTTCTATTTTCTTTTGAATTTTCCTCTCAAGATTAGTGACTTTCTGTTGAAACGAAATAGCCTCGTATTTCGCCTTTGCAACCGACTTCTTGCGCTAACCTAGGAGGAGAGTATTAACTTAACCTTGCGTCTTCATTATTGGTTATCCTAGGCAAAACTGAACGTGAAGCGACGTTCGCAGCTTTCGCATCCACTCTTCGATTTTTTAGCTAACATAACCCTTTCATAGCGCTGCTAGCGTTCAGCTATACAGCTGTGCGATCATACCTTTTTTGCTAACTCTGCAGGGAAGACCTTTCTATCATTCAGATCCAATGGATTACGCTTTGAAAAATGTCGAAAATGTAACCCCATAAATTCTACGAGATTGGAGATCAAAAGTAGCTTTGGCAGATCGCCCTAAATGGGAAAACAAAGCCAGCCAATCGTGTTTTCCTTACCCAGGATGGAATGAGGCTTTTTCATCTCCCCTTCTCCAGTACCACCCCTAAGGAATAATCCTCCTGCTTTGCCGTCCTGATTTGCCTTTTGCAGCAATCATGCCTATCACCTTTCACTAATCCAGCTATGGATTGATTATAAACAGATGGTCCTCGTCAAACGCTTTCATTAATATTCAACATTTGCTTGTTCAGGTGAAGCAACATACAGTCCGCGTCAAGTGAGCACTGACTTCCATCCTACTGTGAAAACATCATCACGGTCATTATAGAAGTGTCTGTCAACGAATAATTTGCATGTATGCATATGTATTTCAGTATTATCATAATTTTTGTGCTATCGCTTATTGTTAGTGCACTCGACTGCGAACAGCAAAGCAACCGCCTTGTAATAAATATAAGAAATCGATAGATGTATGTGTTCCCATTATTCAAATGACCAAAACGATGCTCACTGAACTCGATTGGATGAGATCCTCTCTGGGCTCAGCTGAAATCTAACCTCCCCACAAAACAGTCCAAATTAGCCGCCATCTGTTCCGACTGCTCGATTGTGCAAGGTCAACCGTGTGACGTGTGACCCATTTCAGATACACGACTCTCACAGCCCTCTCCCACCCCCCGCAATCCATTTGATGGTGCCGATAATGTCCTTGAAGCTGGAGCTCCAGCTATTACGTGAAACACCTCCCCATTTATCTCCGCCCCTGAAAGTGGCGGAATTTTCAAACTGTATGTTTATATATCGGAGGGGTGGCGAAAAAAGACATCTTGCCCATGTCGAACTTCAGCGATTTTTTCGCCGTAAAGATTGTCACCATTGACGGGCATCTTCCCACGGAATTATTCTTCCAACGTTCCTCTTTACACAGACGCAAGCCTTCCTTCACTGCCCCAACCGTCTTCAGAATACGACGCTATCTGCCATCGTCGTCGAGTCC